GAGCACACAGCACTGTGACCCAGCACTCAGCACTGTGACCCAGCACCCAGCACTGTCACCCAGCACACAGCACTGTCACTGAGCACACAGCACTGCCACCCAGCACACAGCACTGTCACTGAGTACGGTGCACCATAGGGCACCAATGTATCAGGGTCCATTTTCTCACCTTGATAGAAACGAGCGTCTTCAAGTGCAAAGCTTACCCTCAAACTGCTCCAGTTGCTACAAGACAGGCACTTTGGGTGTAATCGGTTTTTCCTTCCAATGTGGAGTATATTCTACCACTCATTTTTTATTTTATTTATTCACTTTTTTAAAAAATATTTTTTGAGACAAGATTTCTCTGTGTAGTTCTGGCTGTCAGAACTCACTCTGTAGCCCAGGCTGGCTTGAACTCAGAGACGCACCTGCCTCTGCCTCCCACGTGCTGGGATTAAAGGTGTGTACATGGCCCTGTTTAATTCTTCGGTAATGGCTGTGTGGCAAGTGGCTGATGACACTGTTGATTCATTATTGTCTGCCACGTGGATTGCATGTATTCCTTTGATCTGTTGGCTTCTTAGTGCTGGGGACTGAACTTGGGGTTCCCAAACACGCTCTGCATGTGCCTGAAAGTTCAGATGGTAGAGCCACATGCAAGCTCCTGATTTCAGACTTCACTGTGTCCTTTTGATCTGTCCCTCATGCTTAGTAAGGCTCTGGGCCTGAACTTCTTATCTGATAAGAATTTTATGAGCACATCCAAATACCCTATAAAGTTGAAAAGACAGATTGGGAAAGGGACAAGTGTGTGGGAGACAGATCCCAGACTCCCATTCTGGAAAGCTCCCAAGTCAGAATCTGAATATGTATTTTGAGTCACTCACTTTGGGTTGTGGTAGAACCACTGCCTAGAATCCCCCCCAGTGAGGGCTGGGGGCGTGGCTCAGGGGTGAAGCCCCTGCCTAGAATCCCCCAGTGAGGGGCTGGGGGCATGGCTCAGGGGTGGAGCCCCTGCCTAGAATCCCCCAGTGAGGGGCTGGGGGTGTGGCTCAGGGTGGAACCCCTGCCTAGAATCCCCCAGTGAGGGGCTGGGGGCGTGGCTCAGGGGTGGAGCCCCTGCCTAGAATCCCCCAATGAGGGGCTGGGGGCGTGGCTCAGGGGTAGAGCCCCTGCCTAGAATCCCCAGTGAGGGGCTGGGGGCGTGGCTCAGGGGTGGAGCCCCTGCCTAGAATCCCCCAATGAGGGGCTGGGGGCATGGCTCAGGGTGGAGTCCCCGCCTAGAATCCTCCAGTGAGGGGCTGGGGGCGTGGCTCAGAGGTGGAGCCCCTGCCTAGAATCCCCAGTGAGGGGCTGGGGGCGTGGCTCAGGGGTGGAGCCCCGCCTAGGATCCTCAGTGAGGGGCTGGGGGCGTGGCCAGGGTGGAGCCCCGCCTAGAATCCCCAGTGAGGGTCTGGGGGCGTGGCTCCATCCCCTGTCTAACGTGTGAGGCTCTCAGTCGTGTCAGCACAGCAAACACACCTGGTTCACGCTGCACTCCAGAGGAACTGGAAATAATCCTTGCGTGTGTTAGCGGCAGAGCCTGGAGTGGATCAGCGTGCACTTGCATGTGACCTCCCTGTTTTGTAATTAGCTGAGAACACTGTGTGTGTTTGGTGGGTTCCCTTGTGTTGTTGCAGTACAAGGGGCGAAACCCAGGGCCTCTATCTTGCTGGGTCCGAGAGAGCACAGTGATCCAAATGTGACCGAATCATTTGTCTCCCGTTGGGTAGGAGGACAGACTTCATTATTTTACACAACCGCATGGAGCTGGAGAGCAGTGAACAGGGCCCCTGTGCTGGGTCCAGAGGCCCCTTCCACCGTGCTTCCTGCCCAACACACCTACATTTTATCTGGCTGCCCTGACTTAGTCTGGGCTCATCCTGCTGGGCTGGGCCTGAGGGAGTCTTGGGCTGGGATATTTGTGGAGCTCACACGGGCGACTCTAGGTGATCCAGGGTGGCTGGTTTCCTTGGTTTGACTCCATGTAAATTTTAGATGTCAATAATTTTTTGTGTGTGGTCTTTCTGGGGAGAGAATTATGCGTGTACCAGGACAGCACGCATCTGTGGAGGTCAGAGGACAACTTTCGAGATCAGTTCCTTCCTTGTGTCCGGGGGACAGGTGGGCAGGCTTGGCAGCAAGCCTCTACTGCTGAGCCATCTTGCTGGCCCCTTCTCCTTCTCCTCCTCCTCCTCCTCCTCCTCCTCCTCCTCCTCCTCCAACCTTGCAGGGGTCTGATGAGACACAGAGCTCAGTGGGGTGGGGCAGACGTCTGGAATCTTCTCTCTAACACGCTCCCGGCCGTGCCTTGCAGATATGGACGCAGAGCGAGAAGCCCTGCAGTGCTCCGCCTACCCCGAAGTGCAGAGCTTCTGTGGGAAACATGGCCTGACCTTCGAGGTGAGCGTCTGCGGTCACTCGGGAGTCACACCACCCCTGTCATCTGTTTGGTGCTTTAGCTTTGGGTCTCAAAACTCAAAATGTTTTTTTGTTTTGTCCTTTGAGACAAGGTCTCATTTATCCCAGGTTGGACTCGAACTCACTGTGTAGCTGAGGATAACCTTGAATTCACCCAAGTGACAGGGTGACAGGTGTGTGCCACCAAGCCATTTATGCAGTGATGTGGATGGACCCCTGGGATTCACGTGTGCTAGGCAGGCAGGCACTCTACCAACCCACTGCAAACAGTGCACCAATTGAGCTCCCTCTCCAAGAGGTCCACCTACCTCTGCCTCCCGAGTGCTGGGATTAAAGGTGTGCGCCACTGTGAGGGTCCCTACAAATGCCACAGCCAGCACAGAAGCCATCTTCCAGAGGCAAGAAGGAAATCCAGTTCAGCAAGACTTAGTTAGCTGGGCTGGATCAGACTTCCGGAGTCTGGCCCCAGGCGTTTTATTTCAGGCATCTTTAAGTACAGTAGAGCTTTGAAAAAGTTTCCTGGTGACAATCGTCCCAGTCCCATGGGCACAACAAAGCTTAAGGAATGACTACACCAACACTCTTTTGCGAAATACATGTGACCTCCACCGCAAAGATGGGTTCTATAGCTTGAGGGCCCAGACCTGCTGTGGTCTCTGACGAAGAAGACAATGTAGGGTCAGCAGGCTGTGACGTCCGTGTGACATCTCCCCTAAGGGTGGGTTCTGGTGACCGAGAAACTAAGATGAAGGTCTAGGAGGGAGAGTCTGGGATAAGCCTTCTGGGGACCTGGTTCTACAGAGAGCAAAGATCACCAGGCCATTAAACAGCATCTACTGCCAGCCTTCTCAGCCTTCTCAGTGGAAAACAGGTATCATTTCCTCCTTCGAGGAGACAGCCCTGCGTGATTACACTCCTAGTTTCTCCAGTGTGTGTGTGAGCACTCACGCCCTCTACATGCCACCAGGCCAGCTGTCCTACTCACTTTTTTTTTTTGGTTTTTCGAGACAGGGTTTCTCTGTGCAGTTTTGGTGCCTGTCCTAGATCTTGCTCTGTAGACCAGGCTGGCCTCGAACTCACAGAGATCCACCTGCCTCTGCCTCCTGAGTGCTGGGATTAAAGGTGTGCACCACCACCACCTGGCTGTCCTACTCACTTTTTAAGCAAGATTTATTTAATGATTTTATGCAATTGGATGTTTGTCTGCATGTAAGTCTATGTGCCTCATGTGTGTAATAACTGTGGAGGCCAGAAGAGGGCATCAGATTCTCTGGACCTGGAGTTACAGACAGTTGTGAGCTGCCATGTGGGTGCTGGGAACTGAACCTGGGTCCCCTGCAAGAGCAGCCATCGCTCTTAACTGCTGAGCCATCTCTCCAGCCCTTTGTAATTTTTTAACAAGAGACCACCTTCTTGCTCTACATTGCTCTCCCCATCTCCTCATCAGCGTTCCTGTATATGTGTGTGTACATGTGTGTGCACACATGTGGAGACCAGGTGTCACTCTTGGGTGTCATTCCCCAGGTGCCATCCATTTAGGTTTTAGAGATAGCAGCTCCCTCTGGCCTAGAGCTCGCCAACCTGGCTGCCTGACATCCAGCCCTGGGGTCCTCAGCTCTAGGGCTGCAGAATGTATCACTGAGGCTGGCTTTTGCATGAGTTCATGGGATGGAACTCAGGGCCTCATGCTACAGACGAGCATCTTAGAGATCTGCCGTCACCCAGACCCTCTCCACACTTTTTTGAAACAAAGTCTGCCTTGTACTACAGACCCTCCTGCCTCAGCCTCCAAACCACTTGGAGGTTGTCCTTTGCCACCACACCAAACTCGTGTGTGTGTGTGTGTGTGTGTGTGTGTGTGTGTGTGTGTGTGTTTGAGACAGGGTTTCTCTGTGTAGCTCTGGCTGTTCTGGAACTCTCTATAGACCAGGCTGGCATCGAACCCACAGAGATCCGCCTGGCTCTGCCTTCTGAGTGCTGGGATTAAAGGTGTGCGCCACCAGCGCCCATCGAGACAGTGTTTTTAAAAGCCAGCCTCATTTTTGTCATTCCTAGATTTTGTGTGAATTCATACAAAACATTCCAGACCAGTGTTTCCTAATCCTTCCTGGTCCTCCTCTTCATCCCGGTTAATCTGGAAAGCAGCTCCTAGCTCTCTCTCTCTCTCTCTCTCTCTCTCTCTCTCTCTCTCTCTCTCTCTCTCCCTCCCTCCCTCCAATGATGGGAAGGCTGGAAAAGAAGAAT